TGAAAAGGCAGTAATCTTCTGGGCTCTTTCTCTTTCACCTTATTCATTCTTTTTGTAGTTTTATCACTTATTCTTGCAAAGCTTGAAGCCCTCTTCATTGGTCAACCTATAGTTCTCTGTTGTCTGCTCTTTTTCAACCCTAGCAGTAGAATTATAAATGAAGGTTCTCTCCCTGCTTTGAATATAGTGTTGGGACCCATAAGTTTTGAACTTGAAGGGTGAGGTTTTATATGTATATTTATATAGCTTGTACACAAGACAACAACTAAAGTACTAACTATGATAAACCAAGAACAAGATACGTATATGAAATATTCGTATTAATCAATGTAAAAAACAATCTGCACAGATTGAAATACATGCTGTAATTGAAGTTATGGTCAATGTCTCCAGGGTGAGCAGTACCTTCCCAATTGTGTCCAAGCTAACACAAAGTTATGATCCCCCACTCTTCACCACCATTCGTTTTCAGAACTGAGCAGTCTAGTAGTTTCACTGCATACTTATAAGGAATTATTTGTATTCAAGGAGTAAAGATTAAGTATGACAAATCAGGACCTATTTCCTCTTGTCAGATAAAGGCTTTAAAATAAATAGATCTTTGGAAGAAAGTATGTAAATTCAGTTCATGTTCCAGAGGACGGGGTTAACATATTTAGGAAGAGCTGTATGAAATGATGAAGTTGTAATTATGGTACAAGTATGTAATCCATTCGAACTTCATACCGTTTTCGAAAAAATTGACAAGTTATGTTTGGGCCTCTAGTGATCATGCTATTATTTTCCTGAAGATACCAGCTATTCAATGCCATTTAGGGCTTTAGTCTCCATAAATTACTGAAATTTTGTCAAATATATCAGCCACCAGGGTGCTGATTCATCAGCAAAAATTTGTATGCACCTCATAGCCAGTGGTGCATCAGTTGCTGTGAAGCACAGAGCCATGGAACCAGTCAACAAAGTAAAAATACTCTTTGTTTATAACCTGCAGATAGGCAGATGAACACAAAACCCCATTATGCATTCAGTTTATGCCCTTTGTGCAATGAGCATGTAAGAAGTGGAGGAATGAAAGATAAATAAGCAGAATATAATGTGTAATTTATAGATGATTGGCTTTGCTCTAAAGATTTGGTGTCTTCTAAATAACTCATCCCATTTTTGAAATTCAAAAATACTTTGAATATTTGAATTCTGCTCACCGTTTTGTTTCTAGTGGCGGTGTTAACAGGCTATAGGCTTCCATAGAACTTTTGCCTACTTTGAAATATAAATCAGTCCGGAATTTTAAAGAAACAAAAACTGATTACAGCATTGTACTTGAACTTACTTCATGATGCATCATTTCTGAATGAGACACCTGTGTTTTTCATATTACACCTAAATGTAAATTATTTGGTATATTGTATTCTGCTCTCATTCAGCCAAGGAATTCTGTGCCATGACAGTATGACCTTGCTGTGAGTCGAGAAATGTTTTGATAACACTTTATATGTTATCAGGCAATGAAGTTGTTATAGTGCCATGTGAGATTATGGTAAAACAGTGTGATGATAGAGCACAGAGTGTGCTGGTTACAAGTCATACAATTTTTATGCAAGTACATGTTAAAAAAATGTAAACTTGCGATTAACTAATTAAGCACTATGCCATGTAGACATATGAGGGAGTTGATGTATAGTTCAATGTGTACTTGACCTTGGCTAGTTGGAAGTGAGTGGTCAGCTTCATGTCCAGACCACTTTATCCCCAAGGAAACAGCTCCACAGTACCCATTGGGTAGGAGGCTTGATGGGCCCTAGAACCAGTCTGGATAATGTGGAGAAAAGAAAAATATTTCCCTACTGTGATTTGAACTGAGACCACTTGGCCATTCAGCCCATAGCCAGTCGCTATATCGAGTGTGCTATTACAACTCCCACAAGTAAATGGATCTGCCAGCAATAATCTGTCTATTGTCAAGTGTTATAGTTTTCATGAAAAAAATTTATTAAAAGATCTTCTTGAAATCTGTATTTTGCATTCCTTTAAAGTTTGAATGTTATGATTGCACAGTGCACAGTGTACAGTGGAGCCTGTAGCATTAATGGTATCATAGCAAGAAGTAATTTCAATTTTTGCACAGACAAACTGTTGAGAAACAGAATGACTTATTTCTTCAGCTGAAGGTCTAAAACACCAAAAAAAATTATGAATGAGGAAGGTGAGTACTTCTAGCTGTAATATCTCTTGTGGAGTATGAAAGGAGTTAGCAAATGTTTTAGACTAAAAATTAAAGGATTTGGTGTGTTAATAGAATGTAAAGAAATGTGCTTTCTGCGCTAATGTTGAAGTGCATATCTACTAGAATGAGGAAAATAAACATGACATTTAAAGCAACCCTTGGACAGCTACATGAAGAATGAATAAAAAGAACAGTTCCTCACTCTTTGATGATTGAATCGTGATTCCAAAAGAGAACATATGACTTATAGTGCTAACATATGGAAGAACTGTAGATGAAAGAATATCATTTGGATCTTCTTACACTTTAGCAACCAGGAATAGTAAAACAGTGAAATTAGATTCCCTCTGCTGTGTCTCTAGTGTTCCAAAGCATAGTGTAAGGAACAACATTTGAATATATTATGATGAAAACACCAGGAAACAGTGAATCTAAATGACACATATCACATGCCAATTTTTGTTTATGTTCACTTTAATGACAGTTCAGCTGGAGTGACTACACTTCTGAAGGGTCTGTTAGTACTATCAACACTGTGGCATGACATGGTGCAAGCCACACTCATCACAAGTTATTGTCTCCAGAGTCAGCTGTTGTCACTGCATGTCCAGTTGCTGAGAGAAAAACTTTTGCAATATGTCATATCTCATGGGGACTGGATGCGTGTGAGTACTATTTAGTATTTTAAAACTGGTGCGTGGTGCGGTCTGAGTAGAGACAGAATATTTGGACCAGTTTTCTTTGAGGACACAGATATTCTGCCTTTTTTTAGTGCCTAACAAGTAAAGAAAGCTGATATGCATTCTTCTGACAAGACTCCGCTGTTGCTCACACAACATAGGAATCCATTATTGTTTTAATGCCCTTCTGGCCATCACACTACCCCATGTGACTTACTTATGGAGAACCACAAAACAAAACATTTACTAATCAAGCCCTCACACAGTTTAGGAAATGAAGGATAATATCCAAAGGAAATCTTGCTTTCTAAGAAGAGCCTCATTGTGTGGATATAGAATTTTTATGAAGGTACTAGGAATGAATGCAGAGCAATGGAGAGCATGTGTTGTAATATGGATGATTTATTTATAAAATACAGTATATAGGCTGTAGGTTTGTCAGTTTTCCTAGCAGGCTGGATCTCTGTAGTCCTGGTAATGGTAAAAAAAGGCAAAGTTGCTCCTGTGCTTAATTAGTTAAGCATTATGCCATGAAAACATATGGGGGTATGACTCCACCTTTCTTGACCTCGGCACTACATGAAGGTGAGAGGTCAGCATTAGCCCTTGGGAAGGAGCCCCCAGTACCCACTGGATAAGAGGCTGAGTGGGCCCATGTTTCAGTCTGGACACTGTGGAGACAAGAAAAATCTTGCACTCCTGGGAACCAAACCCAGGCCTTCCAGCCTGTAGGCCATCACTATACCGACTGAGCTATCCCAATTCAAAATCTGCTGTCCTGACTTGATGAAAAGGGCATTCAGCACTTCTGCCTGAAACATTCAACAATTTTCAGAGAACCCGAAAAAGGTCACTGTATAAATAAACAAGCGAAGGCACTTTTTAAAATTAAGCTGAGCATGAAAAGGGTTGAGGATGAGCCTTACCTATTCACACTGTCATCATGTTCACAAATAAAAACATTTAATGGAAAATCGATTAATATGCTTGTTTCCCAGAAAAAAATTGATTTTAATGCATAAATATAAAAGTAAATATGTGGAATTAGCATAATTTATGTTGTTGTGTTCCATATTGCACAAAAATTGTCTTAATAAATGTTACTTATTTCTCAGACTTCAAATTTTAAGACTCTATATTCGAGAACAGTAATGTTCCTTTCAAATCATATGTTCATTTTATCGCTGGAGGTATGCAAATTTTAGGTGTACGCTGATGACATGGCATTTGTAATGGTTTCCCTCTCCAGATCTGACTAATTGATCATAGTGGAAGAGACATTCATAATGGCAGACTTTTGTATTCACAGCTGGGTTCTATGGATGGTATTGTCAAAGAGTTAGTTATCAGTATCACAGAGCCTCCCATTGGACCATACCTGAAACAGTTCAGTTCACATCTTAGCAACCTATAACCCTGTCATCCATTTCGTCCTACTTTACATATTTCCTTAGGAAAATAAGAGCTGTGTTCATGTTCATTTGCATGTATATGTTTCCAACTGCCAATAATAGTTCAGTCATACTTCATTCCATAATAAATCTGTCTTTGTTTCACAAAAGTTCCACATCTCTTATAATTTTAAGTACAGTTCAGAAATTTAGGATAAAGTCCCATATCTTCAGGAAACAGGGAAAGAATAAAGACGATTTAACGGCCCTGGAATCATGATGGCATGACTTTCTTACATCTAATGTAGAGAATTAACAAATTAGATCAGATGTTTTTATGTAGGGTAATGATGCAGGTGAGAGACCTACAGTTGAATCTGAGAATTTATTAAACATGACAGGAGAAGCTTATTGATCAGCTGAGAAGTGACAAGAATGAAGACATAAGCGAAGACACTGAAAGTGACACAGTGACCTTTATTTGTACTCCAAGTGAAATATACTAGGATGGAGGAACATCAAATAGCACAAAACCAGATAATGCCAGCCTGACTAGATATGTCATTTATATTTCCAAATGACTGCTTTTATCTTTCTTTCTTTTTTCTTTTTTTTTTTTGCGTTCCATAAATCCACACTACACGTAAGACATAAAACATGTCTGCTAAAGTAGAATTGCTAGATATAACAAACTGTCTTACAATTATAAACATTAATGAGAGAAGCAGTGCTGAGAGTATGCTGAGAGAAGTATTTATGTATGAAAGGTGTGTTAATTACAGGAGGCTATTTGAAATTTGTTAGACATTATCTTTCATAATTTTACGGACACATAAAGGATGACTTGAAGCTGAATCTTCGGAAACTAGCATGCACAGGATGAAGATAATTGCACACAACGCATATATTCTTTAGGTGACATTCAACAGTATGGCATACCAGAATATTTTTTTCATAAAACATACTAATAAGGACCAAATAAAAATTTGTTACTAAAGTGAGGGAATAATAGGAGCCAAATTAAAAAAAAAACTTCTCAATTTAACTAAAACTTTAATTTAAAGAAAACTTAAAATTATTGTTTCTCTTGTATAATCTAAGTTTGGGTATCATTTTAAAAATTAACACTGTTTTTCAGCTTCCTTGTGACAACAAATTATAGAATCATAAAGACTAATGCTTGCAAATGGGTAGATGAAGAGAGCTCCAGATTATGTGATGTTTCAATCCGGAATGCTTTTCAGTTCTTCAGAGTAGCACCAATGGCTCTGAAGATTTATGAACTGCTTAATAAAACACCATGCAGAAACCTATGGTACAGCTCATGTAATGAGACAAGATTGAACACAATTATCAACAAGATAATCTGATCATATTTGTAGACTGACAATTAAGCCAAGGTGATTTTAGTCTCATCGCTTATACACATGTAGGGTACTTAATAGAAGATTAATTACTGAGCTTAGAAGAGCCTCCTTCTGAATCCTTCCCTTCTAACCCTCCATAAAATAGCAGATTATGCATTGTTGTGTGAAAGGGTAATACAACTATTATAATGCCTATTTTGTTGCAGGAAATCCGTGAATTTCGAAAGCTTCTGAAGTATTTTAATGAAGACCTTGCACCGATAATCTGCATCTTGTCAATTGTGAACATTTCATTTGCAGCCTCAGGAATCATATGGCTGCTGAAGTTTGACTTAGTTGATACAGAAACAGAACCCATTAATGGAGTCAGCATTCTGAACACAGTTCTCTGGGTGCTGATAGCTGTCGCCCCATTCATTCAGGTAATACATTTATAGTGCTGGCAAGTCTCTTATCAAGGCAGAAAGTCCCCAGATTACAGATATCAATACAGATGAACGAAGATATTACCTACATTAATTATGAATCTGTAGCTGTGGCATATAAATACCTGTCCATGCATAAATTAATGATCATTTTTAAGAACTATTTATAGCAGCTGAGCTTAGTCTAATGTCTTACATTACATGATCTCTTCATTTCATTGTTTCTTGCTCTTTGAGCGAGAGTGGTGTGAGTTCATTAAAACTGTGAACCAAATACAGGATATGTGTATGACTGAGAAACAGAGCCAGCAATCAGGGTAAAAAACATTCACACACACACACTCACAACATATCTGAAATATGCAGACAAACTATAGAGATGAGCTCATGCTTTTCATAAATGAATCTGGATATAAATTATACTAAATTTGTTTTGGTTACTTGAACACCTAGTTATCAGGCATAGCAGTATCACATAGATTTGTCTTTGAAAGGTACTTGATTCAAATTTCACCTGAGCTACCATCTACTCTGATGTTTTCTACTGTTGATGACAGTCCCTTGCCAAGGAGTGTACTCAATAGGACATAACTTCCTCGTTCAAAATCCTTATCTATTTACCATTCATGATCATCTTCCCAAGTTACTCATTCATTCATTCATTTTTATTGGTTCCAGAAATCCACATTTTGCAATACAGCCTCCAGATATAGAACAAGTCAAATTATTTGTATAAAAGTCAGTAATACTATAATTTAATATTTAACTACATACACAAATTGTGTACATGTCCAACATACCATATAAAACTATATTAAAAATTTAAGACAACACAAGTTCCCCAACAGAGTAAGCAATTCAATCCATTTCACATCAATCAATCAATCAATCAACCAATCCATTCTCCCTTCCTTGTCAAATCACTGTCATAGGAAAACGTTCTATACATATTAAACATTAGTTAGTGCTATATAATTAAGGCAGCTGAAACAGGCATTATTAAAGTAGTAACGCCTTCAAAACAGACAGTCCTGCATCCTCCAAAAATAAATTCCATAATCAATATACGTGTAGTACCTGAAATGTTTTCACAGATCTCAATGCATTCAACATTTACTCTTCACAGGCAGCCCGCTTGACAGCTGCATGTGTTGCCTTGCGGGATATAGGTCATGAGGTACGTACACGACCATTTGTTTATGAGACAACGCCAGAACAGGATTTGGATAGTATTTTACTATATACATCATCTCTCCGTATGACTTCAGAATTGTTTAAGGTCCCAGTAACTGGAAGGTACCTATGCATGGCTGCCACAATAGGAACCATTTTGGTAATCACACTTGGACAATGTCATGTTCTGTAGATGTTATGTTTGTAATGTTTTTGATAGATTTTTGGTGATTTAATGACATCACTGCTGTTATTCTTAATTTATGAAGTACATACTATTCATAATAAAATTTCAGATGACAAACCCCCTATATTAGGGTGGTACAATGTATACTGTAAAGATATGCACGAGAATTAGATGTAAAACTGACAATTTCCCTATCCAAATGGTTGTAATACCTGTATGTATGGATTGTTGAATGATAATAAAAATGAAATGAAATGAAAAATGAAAATTCAGTCAAATAATTATTAAGTCTTCCCTGCTGGATTTTAAGTCTTTAGGACAGTAGTCATAAAAAATCAAACTTCCCATAGATCTTGTGCAGAAAATTTAATGATAAATACAACTTTGTATTTGAATTTTAGTAAATACAGATTTCAAAATTGTAGGGAGTAAACTGAGTGTCTGTTAATGACAGGGTGTATTTAACATCATCACCATCATATAATGATATTTCCACCACAGAAGACCATTCTACGAACAGGTCTTCCCCATTTTTTTCTTGTCTTCCCTATGGCTTTCCCCTTCATATGCATCCACTCTTTCCTCCACTTTGTTTAAAATATTTCCCCTCATTTTTTTCTCTCCAGCTTGTCCTTCACTTCATCAGTGGTCATTTATTCATTTCTGAAATATTCAAAGGAATCTTATTACCCTTTAAGTGTTAAGTCTTCCACAGAGACTTTAACTAGACTTGAAAGTTATTTAGTATCTTACGTCAGTTTACAGAATGTATCACAGTTTCACAGTAGTTAGGGTTTAATGGTTTGATATTACTAATACAATTGTAAATTAAATTGCTGTAACTGAAGACAAAAGTGATGATGTATTGAATAGTTATTACAGGGAATATGAACATATATGAACATATATTCGGTCACTNTTGTTTTTTCTTATAAGTAATTTTCTGCTGGGGATTATGCAGTGCTTTAAAATGCCTTGTCTAATTATGACTGGTCTTCACTCTGTAATGAAATTCCTGATGATGCTGCTATTGACAGATTAAATGTTGCTGTAATTGAAGCCATAGATTTAGTTGTTCATTCTGGATCCATTAAAAAGCATAAATATACTCCTTGGTTTTCTGGAAAGTTAAGAGCTTATATTAAAAAGAAAAATCATTTTCATAGATATTACAAGAAGTTTAAGAGTGACTGTTTGTACTACAGATTTTCTTTTACTGGAGATTAGTTAAAACAACCGTTGAGACTGACAGATTTCGCTGGCTCAAATCCATCAACAAACATTTAAAGTCTCACCCTAAGCACTTTTGAACGTATGTATCAGAGTTTAGGAAAAAACTGTACCAATTTCATACATCTTGATATAATTTCTATTCTTATTTTATTGTATTTTATTGCTAATTTTAACCAGTGTCTAGTCTAGATTTATCTAGTTTGTGAACTGAATAGAAACTAACTTGTACAAACCATTTATAAAAACGGGAATGTTAAAGCGCTACAGTTCGGTAATGGTATGTGAGAAACTTGAAGCACCTGAAAATGACCTGTTTGAGGTCGAAACATGTAGTGCATGTTATATAAATAATAAAGTATTGTTGCATTGACAGTAAAGATTTTATATGTTCATTGTATATATGCAACAAGATGCAGTCCTTAAAAATACATCTTGATATGATGATGATGATGATGATGATGTTGATGATGATGATGTATTAAATAAATTTTGGGATATTGCTGAGGCATATTCAAGGCATTTTCAATCAGTTTGTAGTTGTTTTTGGCCTGGAATCTTTTCTTCTGTTAATCAATGTACTGAAATTTTATCCTTAGTTCCTATTTCAAACGCTGATGTTCAAAATGCTATAAAATGGCTGCAACCATTGAAATCACTCAGACTTGATGGTATACCACGTTTTGTTATGAAGGGTTGTTCTGAAATTTTTGTATCTGTTTTCAGGTTCATTTTTCATCTTAGCCTATCTCAGAATACTTTTCCTAACTTGTGGAAGTAAGCAGCATTTTTCTGTTTTCAAAAAAAGGAAAAACTTCCTCTGTTGAAAATTATAGGCCCATAGCTATTCTAAACATTTTTCATAGTCACCGCCGCAAAAGCCTCAAATCTTACAATTTTTCCTAAGTTTCTGAGTTTATCATACATGACTATCAATACAGACTCAGAAATTCTCTTACATTGCAAACAGACTGTGTTAAGGATTTCGGTAAACATACTGATTGTAAACGTAATTTTCATCATCTTGTTGATTTTTCTTTTTTCACATGCAGTGAAATTACTGGGGTTAATTGGAGTGCGCTTCTGTTGCTTGGATCTCTGTTACGAATGTTAACTCCAGTGAACTTGAATGCATACAAAGATAATTTGCAGCCCTTTTCCACAGTATACTTTCAAGATGTGGAATATCATTATGACAGTATATTGGAAAAATTAAATTTGCAGACACTGCCTATCAGGCATCATCACTTGAATGTTCTGTTTCTAATAAATGCATTTAGTGGCACTAAATGCTGCCCCTCTGTCCTTGAAGCAGTCAGCATTTGTGTTCCTACTCAGAACATACGGGGGCATGTGCAAATGTAGTTGGTTGAGACACTATGCTACAAGCCAGAAGATCTCAGGTTTGATTCCCGATGAGGTCATTGGATTTTTCAATTGATCTAATCGTTCCAGCCATACTATAGCCCTGGGGTGACTCAGCTTTTAACAGAAATGAGTACCAGGAATTTTCCTGGAGCTCATTCACCAGTGTTAATTTTAGAATGTTAAGAGGCTCTACAAAAATGATTGCCTAGCTCCTGTTCGTAAAATGGCACCGTCATAGACTGTGAAGACAAAGGATTTAGAGCTGAATGGTAGAAAGCATTTAATCATCTCACAATTTCCTTGTTTATTACTATTCCGAACTTTGCTGTAGATTCTTTCTCACACATGAAAAATGTTTAGTTACCACAGTACTTTGTACATCAAATGACCAGGGTCCAAAGTTTAACAGCAGTAGCAGTACATTCTCTGAGAACCTGTCTCTTACATTGGACAGTACAAATAACAATTAAAAAAAATCACACATATAAACATGACTGAAGAGTAATACCTGTATATTCTGGGATATATTGGGTAACAGGTGCTTATACCAATATTGATGTTCAGTAACAGATTTTTAACTTCTAAATTATTTTTATATAGATATTTTGAATAGACAAAATAAATATGCTATGCCATGAACTGCAACTTACTGAAGCTTACAGAAATGTAGGTAAGTACCATATCTGGGATTTACACAAACAAGATTACTCCTCACTGTAAGAATAATGTGATTATTGAGAATTATAAGTCTTCACAACAGTAGTTTGGTTTCCTACAGGAATGTGAATAATTTTGTAATGGGATTAGTGACAGAAGCTTCCTGTTCCACTGACCCTGTGACAGGGCAGCCTAACTTGTTTTATTGCATAGCATTTTATGCATTTTTTAATAGAATAACATCCTTGGGGCTCTAAAGTTTGTGACTTTCTTTCCAGCAACTGTAAACACTGAAGGGGATCTGTCACCTAATTGCCTACCTACTGATAAATCATGTGTGCAAGGGTTTTCAAAAGCTTCAAAGGCTGGAATATTTAGAAGAAATAGAAAATGTTCATATCCAAAAAATATCAATCCAAAAGGAACAATAGGCTAAGAACATCTGTGGCTGTGCACAAAGACCAGTTCTAACCATTACTTGTTTCTGTTTGTAATAATTTTAAAACAAAATCTTGGAGATAAAGCAGTGTATTGCTGTATTATAGTGATGAATCACTGTGTGAATGTTATGTTATTTTTGATGTCAGGTTGTTGATATTTGACATATCCAATTGTAATGCTCTACAGCTCTGGATGAAATAAATAAATAAATAAATAAATAAATAATAATAATAATAATAATAATAAATAGCCTAGTCCATGAAGATTAAAGTGACTTTCACCTTAATTTTATTTTTCTCCTTTGTTTCCAGCTTCAGCTTCCAACAACTTGAACAGATGTAGTTCTAGAAGTGTTATTCTAAAACTTGTGATGTAATAGCAGTTCATACATGAGTGGACTTTGGTTTGAATTCTGCTTAAAAATAAAGCTGTCTTCACTGAGGTTTGTGTTCTCCTCTGTCACTCAGTGCAGATGTTAGGATAAATTAGGTCATGAACACTCCATATCCTCAATTCATAACTGTCCTGCCACATATTAGCACTAACTTCGCCGACAAGCGGCGGTCGCTCGGTCGGTATAGTTCGCTTGCGGACTAAAACCACGGAGTTTGTTTTGTTTGTATAGCCTTTGCAGTTTATAAAATATCTTTAACTAACAAAAGTATAAATATATTGTATTCATTCAGAAGGTATCTGATTCTGATATTGGTCCAGTGATCTTAATTAAAATCAAGCAGTCGGTCTAGTCTACAAATAAACTTCCCCATGTATATTAAATGAAGAGCAGCTGCTACATTTGTTAGAGTTTGACACACATTGTAACAACTACTGAACCTTGGGTGACCAAATATCCCATTTTTAACAGGATCGTCCTGTTTTTGACAGGGAGGGACTGTTACCCTGTCAACTTTAAAGAACATAATCTTCGTCTTCCGCCTTTACTGTTTTATATCGCAGAAGCCGGCAGAAACAGAATGAAATATCTTTGAACACGGTTCAAAGGGTTCCGTGGAATATACTCGGACACCACGGTGTGGTATACGTCTACTACGTCTAGTATAGCGATGTACGTATAGTTGCGCATGCGTGGACGTGTGTAAATATTAATATAGACATATAGACCGCAAAGCGGATCGAAGAAAAGGGAAACAGACTAGCAGACACAAGTGCAGAAAGTGTAGGTGTGTGTATGTTCGGAACATACGTAAAAATGTGATTGACAAATTGCTTGCTGTACACCGGTGTTTACACAGTACGATTTAATGTCCACCATTTGGTACGTATACGGCATTTAATTTGAATGTTGTTATTGCAGACATTCAGTTTTGGCCTCTATCGTTCCATTTTTACATGTACACATATCCGTTTTGCTAAAATATTTTTATTCGCCGTATGGTCCCCATTCAAGATCGTTCTATCCTTACGGTTTTCGTTTTATTTTATTTTATTTTTTTTAACGAGTTTAACCTTATGGTAATTAAAGTGTTAAATATAGTGTTTTGGTAACACGTCTGTTTAAATATTCAGCAATTGGACATATTAGAAGTTGTTAATAAATTTAAACGAAGAATAGAACGTGAGGGCCGCATGTGAACCTTATTACAGTTAGCATACTGTTACCGTCCACCAAATGTAACAGAAGGACGAAATGCCCCGTAATTTCGGGGCATTACAATTTATTTTTAGTTGGTTTGGAATGTCATTACACTGTTACTGGGCAGTTATTTCCCTGGGATTTAAAATTATGTTGAATGATAAGTTATTGAATTTTGCTACATTTTAAATGTATTGTCATTCCCATTTTAATCACTAAAAGGGACACAAGGCATGAAGAATAATGAAGTTAAAATAGTTAACAGAGTACCATATTGACACATTGTATATTTGAAGTTAATCCAGGTGTTCTCAAAAGTTGTGTAGGGTACGAACCGGATGACTTCCATATATAAGGGTTGGGGTTTTTCTTTTTGCCATCATATTCATACTGGGTTTGGGACCTGCCCAAAATCCTAATGTAGTGAGTAACAGGATATTTTTTTCCAGGGATAGATGGAATTTGAGGCTGACTGCTTCAAATTAAAAATTCACAACAGTTTCTTAGAAAGTTGACATGTATACTTATATACAATATGTAAATCAAAATGCAAGCCAACCTTATGATTTTATCAAGAGAATTTTAAGAGTATTACAGTAAATCAGGAGTCCTACATATGACCATGTCAATCACTGATCACGTTCACATACTACAAACAACTATTTTTTATCCATTTCAAACTTATTTTACAGTTTAATACCCGTATTGATAACACTTTTCTTAAAGGTGTTGCTTATTCTCCTGTTGCATAGCTGTGGCTGTATGTGCTACAGTATGAAAACTGAGAGAATTGTGTTTTAAATTCCAGGACTGTATAAACAAGGCACAGGCATCTGTTGATAGAGTGAGAGTTATATGCCTTTGCTACTGAAAGCTATTCTGNTTAATTAAAAATTCACAACAGTTTCTTAGAAAGTTGACATGTATACTTATATACAATATGTAAATCAAAATGCAAGCCAACCTTATGATTTTATCAAGAGAATTTTAAGAGTATTACAGTAAATCAGGAGTCCTACATATGACCATGTCAATCACTGATCACGTTCACATACTACAAACAACTATTTTTTATCCATTTCAAACTTATTTTACAGTTTAATACCCGTATTGATAACACTTTTCTTAAAGGTGTTGCTTATTCTCCTGTTGCATAGCTGTGGCTGTATGTGCTACAGTATGAAAACTGAGAGAATTGTGTTTTAAATTCCAGGACTGTATAAACAAGGCACAGGCATCTGTTGATAGAGTGAGAGTTATATGCCTTTGCTACTGAAAGCTATTCTGTATGTATGCTGGAGTAAATTTGTACACAAAATAAAGGTGGGAAATGTAACATAATTAGTTTATAAGAACAGAAAAACAAATCTTTATCCTCCAGAGGACTGAGGTCCATGTTACATTAATTTAGTTACACTGATGACTCCATTACTACATAACCATTTACTTCCTCTCCGTCTCACCTTATCTCTTATGAAGTCTAGCATGCATACAGGATGTACTTTCTCTTTTTATCATTTGCTTGTGATATTAGTTGAAACTGGTTTTATTTGTTTCCCTCTGAGTTATCTGCTGTTTAGCAAAACACTTGTTTTGTTTCCTAGCTTTTACTTTTAGTAGAATGAATATCAGAGACAGCATAAACTTTGGGAATACACATAAACTGTTGAACATTTTAAGTTTATTGTGTGATCACTGTACAATGGAATATAGACAGTAGCCTAACAATTTACTAGTAAACGTTGCTTATTTGGGCAAGTTTTCAAACGTGTGACCTGCAAAATTTGTTTGTATTTAACATGTGACCAGCCTGTATTTCAGTCATTCTTAGGTGCTCTAATAAACATGTTGTAAGAGTGGAGCGAGGCTGAGCTACTTGGTACTGCAACCCTAAACTGGCTATTATATCAGTAAACAACTGCCCCCTAGACTTCTGAATCTCATTGGGGGGGGGTCAGGTGGTAACACGTCAGACTTGTATTTAAGAGGTGCCTGGTTTGAATCTCGGCTGGGATACCGACTGTCTTGACCAAGGGGTTTCATGGTTTTCTTCAGTTTCTCCAGAGAAATGCTGGGATAGTACATGAAATTAGGCTGTGACTGCTGTTATTAACATCCTTACCAATTCATCATTCATAAAATCATCCTACCATTTGAAGTTTTATAGTCTGAGGTATTGCCAGTGTTAGTGGCTGAACCTGGCGTTCTCAGCGTTAGCCAAATCCAAAGGCAGAGAGAGGTCATGACAATTTTCACAGTTGGCTGCATGTATTGTATAAGATAACTATGCATACATAATTGTACATAATGTAACAGTTATGGATGTTAAATAAATAAATAAATCAATCAATCAATGCATATTTGAGCTAGATGTTAATTATGTTAAGGAATGAAAGAGGATGGAAATGTAAACTAAAGAACTTCAGGGAAGAACTAATCACCTACTTTCCTATCACTGCATGATGAGTATTTAATATGACACAGACTGTATAGAAAATTCTGCATCCTACAGGTCTGTTGTTGCAGGCATATTTGTTGCCACAGGAATATGTTTACTGGGCAATTGCCTAGGAACAGTGAACTGCAAAGTGTGGAGATTAGCAATGGTGCCATAATTATGTGTGGTTATGAGTTGAGTGTGTAAGTGGCCAATAAATCCAATCTCCAATCCAATCCCCATCTGTAGTCACTCATACACATGACAAGTGGTGTCAGAAGTGGTTGGATTGGAAACTTCAATAAGAAGTTACATTGTCATACTGAACAATGGAACAAATGAAGGAATGCCTTCCAACCAAGCAAAGGTGAACGTCAGTCAAAAAAAAAATGAAAGAAGAAATGATGGCAAGGCAGGAAGCCATCATACAGACCAACCAAAAAGGGATGGAAGTCAACTGAGGGAAGATGATGGCCAAGTCAGATGCCCATCACAAACAGATAATGGCCAGAATGGACTGCAAGCTAGAGAAAATGGAACTGTCTAGAAAATATGGACACAACAGATTTTGATGCCTATCAAGGAAAGTCAAGAGACTGTAGCAGAGCATGAGGCCTCAGTGGAAACTGTCAGAGCACAGAAGGAGTAGTATGGGGACTGGCATCTAGACATATGGCACGACTGACAGCTAAAGAAATGGACAAAGAGTGATGGTGGGTCCTGGAAGGAGTTGGCTGTCACCTGCATGTGGATGACCCACCATGCTGGAGAAATGGTTTCGATCTGTTATCATTGTTCCCAAATATCTGAACTGTGCTACATTTTCAAAACATCTGTTTTCTATCTTTATGTCATGATTTTGCCCTGCATTTTGGTGACAAGACAGCAACATATACTTAGTTTTCTCTGTGTTTACTTCTAGACCAACCTCCTTACTTGCATCAATTAAAGTTTGTGCATTTTTCTTTATGGTATCTACATTATCACCCAGTAGATTCACATCATCGGCATAGACCAACAGCTGATGTATCCCGTTTAATTTCAGTCCAACATGGTTTCCCTGGACCTTCCTAATGGCATATTCTAGAGCAAAGTCGAAAAGGAGTTTCGATAAAGCATCTCCTTGTTTTAGACCATTCTGGATAGGAAATTTATAAAACAAATGTTTACTTACACAGGCTTTACTATACGTTTTGTTTAAACACATTTTAATCAGCCTAACTAGTTTCATGGGTATCCCAAACTCTTATGAGAATATTGTACAATACTTCCCTCCTAACTGAGTCATAGGCTTTCTTGAAGTCTATGAATAGCTGATGTACTCTCTCATTGTACTCCCATTTTTTTCCCCAGTATCTGACGAATGCAAGAGATCTGATCTGTAGTTGATCTGTTACGTGGAAACCCACACTGATGATCCCCAATAATTTCATCTATATATGGACTTAACCTTGAGAGAAGAATATTTGATAAAATTTTGTATGAAGTTGATAGCAGTGATATCCCTCTATAATTACTACAGTCAGTTTTATCACCTTTCTTGTGAACTGGTACAATAATAGACTCCTTCCACTGATCAGGCAATTTTTCCTTATGCCAAATAGAATTAATTAGATTGTGGATCTTAGAATGTAATATTTCGCCTCCTGCTTGAATAAGTTCTGCCAGAATTTGATTACTACCTGGCGATTTATACCGTTTCAATTTTGCAATAGCACTTTTAACCTCAAAAGGGCTAGGATCAGTTGCTAATGGCTCAGCTGTATGTCTTTCTATCTGCCTAACATCACTGACCCTATGTACATTCAATGACTGAGAGAAGTAGTTCTTCCACCTCTTCAAAATGTTGTGGAAATCTGCAAGCAGATCACCATTCTCATCCTTCACTAAGTTACTGCTAGGCTTGTAACCCCTCTTAACGTAATTTATTCCTCTATACAGGTCTCTAATGTTCTTGTTCTTACTGTTCATTGCAAGCTCATCAATTTTGTCTTTCAGATATTCCCTCTTTTTGTTCCTGAAATGCCTGCTGGTTTCACATCTTATATTGTTTAGATTATCCCCATTTAACTTGCTTGGAGCTGTTAGAATGGTTCTCATCTCATATTCAGGAATACAGTAATTGACAACAGCAAAGCAGTGACCATTATAATAATGTAGTTATAGTTTTACCTGTTTTATATGCATATGATATGTGATTTCTCACATTAAGGGAAAGAAATAAGAGTTAGGGTTTCTGAGAACGGAGTGTTTGGAGAATATTTGTACCTTAGAGGGAGGAATTGATGGGAAAGTGGAGAAATCTGTATAATTTGGGGAATCGTCATTTTTACTGGACAATAAATATAGATCACGTAGGAAAGATGGTAAATGTATACATAAGTTCAGAGAGTCCTGGCTGTAGATGTGTCATAATGGATTATAAAGAATGGGGTGGATTCCTCTGGCCGTTATTGACACACTTCATAATCATTAACATTCCCTTTTATGTGTTCATATACAGAAACGTTTTTAACTATGCTGACTGGTTCACAGCTCTGCGCTTAATGGTGGCTAGTGCACTGCTTGCTGGGGGGTGCATACATACAAACTTTGCTGATGAATCAGCATGCCTGATGGATGATAACATTTGGAATGAAAGGAAGTAATTAACTTGTGGACCGTTTGATGGCATTATGTTTCAAGGCAAACAGCCAATTAGCGCGATTCATGCATGGGAGTATGTTTATGATTTGTCAGCAGTAGGCAGCAGTTATCAGCTCCATTAATCATTTGTTCTCACTTAACAGCAGTGAGAAGTGCGGTATGTCATGGTGCAGTATACTTCAGAGTAACTTGTACTTCTAAATGACACCTACATGAAATACAAATCTGCTAGAAACTGTTGGCAAACATTTTTGCTCAAATTTCATGATAAAAGAGTTCCCAGCAGACAGACATTTCACAATTTGGTGAATAAACTGAAAATAATGGTCTCTTGATAGACTAGAAACAAGAACATAAGCACTGAGTGCTTACTGAGTAAAAGTTAGATGACATAGTAGCCAGGCTTGTACAGGCACCTAGAAAATCACTGAAACATCTAGCTCAAGAGACCAGAGTGTCAAAGTCTAGTGCAGGAAGGGCAACACAATTGCTGAAGCTGAAATGTTGTAAAACAGTAGTAATCCACTCACGCCTTGCAGCCATGCAATCTAGGTGGCAGGGTTCATTTTTCAGTCGGTTTCTACAGTCTATTGTTGGAAGTGAAATTAATCTGCAATTGGCTTTCTTTTCTGATGAAGCATGTTTTCGCTTAGAGGGATACATAAATAAGCAAAATAATCACTACTGGAGTTCAAAGAATACGCGTCTAACCCATGAAGTCCAGCTCCATCCAATGAAAGTTGGTGTCTCATGTGCTGTAAACACAAGAAATATTGTTGGACCTCTCTTTAATTAACAAAACAATTAATTGCGAAAGATATGTACAGGTCGTTCTTGGGCAGTTCCTTCCAGATTTAACAGAAGAAGAAACACCCTGTGGCTGGTTTCAGGAAGACTCGGCTACTGCCCATAGTTCACGTTTATCTATGCAGGCTTTGTCCGTTGTCTTCAGGAACGGACTTATCAGCAGTGGTGTTTGGTCAGCATGTTCACCTGATCTTACTCCTTATGATTTTTTGTGGGGGGATTGTTTGAAGGACAAAGTTTACAACAGTGACCCCTGAACAGAAGAAGAACTAAAAGAAAATATTTATAAGGAAATTGCAAATATTCCTGCAAAACAGCTTCAAAAGGTAAATCAGAACCTCTTCAACTGGTGTGAGGAATGTCTACATGTAGAAGGACAACATCATCACCTCCTGTGATCTGTGAACAGAGATAAGAACTTCGCTTCATTTTGAACGTTTTCAGCCATCAAGCATGCTGATTCATGGGCAGAATTCATATGCACCTCACAGCAAGCGGTGCACTGGCCCACCATGAAGCACAGAGCCGTGAACCAGTCAACAATGTAAAAATCCTCCCTGTATATGGAGTATACTTGCACAAGTTTTCCTGATATATTATATTTAAAGTTTAAGTGTATAATTTTTGTTTGCAGAAATTTTCTAAGAATGGCGTGAGTTGCCACTGGAGACATGACAAAACGTTTTGAGTTCAACTGGCATATCCCAGTTCCAGAGCCACTGCTAAAAGGATGTTATTTCGAACGTTGGACAGAAGAAAAGGAGAATGTAGAATATGAAGCAAAATGTCTCTTCAGGGTGGATGAATACGGCTTTTTCATTTACTGGAAGAGTGAGGCCCGTGTAAGTCATTCTACATATATATTATACATCTCTTTTGTCACACAAAGGCCAGTGGAGGTGAAGAGACAGGTGCTATGTTCCAGTTATGGAATCCTCTAGCGCACACAGTGAGGATCATTATTCAGTTGTCTGTTTTTCAAGAACAGTGCTATTATTCAGTTATTATATGAAAATAATGATACAGGCTTAGTTCTTTAGACAGGGGAATACTGATCATGAAGAAATGTTACCAGTAATTCTTCCATAAATCATAACTAATCACCAATTGAACGGTCACATCCAAGAGCATACCAGTATGTGAATTAACCGAGCACATGTTCATATGCCTGAAAATCAATGGAACAATTTCCATTGTATTTTGGAGGTCAAAATTTTAATTCTCTGCCAAGAGGTTGACTATGATAATAAGTTATTCTCTGGTGTTTCTCAGTCCCTGCAAGCGAATGTGGGGATGGTACTTTAAATAGATCATGGCCCCTTTCATCCAATGGATCATCCTCCCAGTTGATACCATATGAACTTAAGGAGATGATTCTCAACCTCTTGCATCCCATTAATAATTCTGTAAAAAATGTTCTTCTGCCATAGTAAGAATGAAGCTTCTTTTTTCTTTTTTTTTTTTTTTCCAAGAAATATGCTTTTACAATTATATACATTTTAATATTACATTAATCATTAATCGAAGTTCTTATTTTCAAGACCTCTTGTCCTACCAGTTGAGAAACACAGATGCAAGGCATGTTTTATCAATTGAACATTCTGATTTAGAGCTTTACTTATTCTTGTGTAGTCCTGTAAGAGCTTGCATAAAGGTGAAATTCTCTTAAAAGAGCATAGCATTTAGGCATGTAGTAAAAATAATATGAATCTGAATTTGTATGATTGCAGATTTTCACCCTATGTTATTAAAATTTTCTCATTCTCATAAATGTATACTTTTCGTTAATTAAGAATGTGATAAATATGTGAAGTGACAGAGTTAATAAAACAAAATTATAAAGAATGTACTGCATAATGATGTATATAAAATTTCCAACAGCATTCTTAGAACTTTATTAAGCTTAAAATTAGGACTTATGCAATACAAATTACTAGAAGTCTCCCGTATTGAATTTAAGAAAAATCTATGGAAGGGTTTATGGGTTATATGGAAAATTCCATTTATGGCCTTATGCAAATGAGGCTTTAGTATGAATCAATATTGCTGAAGTTTCAGTTACTTGGCAGCCTTTGGTGGAAGTGTTTTGTATCAAATTTCAAAAAAATCTATGAAACGGTTTATGGGAAATGTGGGAAAGTCCTTTCATGGTCTTACGTAAATTAGACTTCATTATATATCAGTATGCCTTTAAATCAGAATTGCCTGACAAATTGAGGTGCAAGCCTCACATATCAAACTTTAACTGAAGTCTGTGAAATGGTTAACGGGATATGTGAGAAAGTCCTGTTGTGGCTTTATGTATAATAAATCCAGCTTCAGTGTGGATTAGTATGCCTGAAAAGCCAAATTGCTCAACAGATTTTGGTGGTGGTCTCTTGTATTGAATTTCAGCAATATGTTCCATACAGTTTATGGGATACTTTGAAGACCCCATTTATGGCCTTATGTATAACAGGCTTAATTATGGATCAGTATGGCTTCAAATCAGAATTGCCTGGCAACTTTTAGTGAAAGTGCCCCATATCAAATTTTAAGGTCTGGCCAACAGTTTATGCATTGATACTAGGTCACGGATGGATAGACGTGACCTTGTCGTAAGTTGTTCCATTTTTGTTTTGTAAAGAGCTCCTAATAAAATTAGAATAAAAGTAACCTTATTAGTTATGTGGTAACCTATTTTCTGTGAAGTAGTCTTCCCCTTACAGAGAATTTAACAAAGATTAAGCAGGAACCTATTTTTCTATAAAGAAAGCCTTATAATTTTGTATTTTGATTTGACGCTCATATTGGGAAGTGAATATGCATATGAATTCATTTATATGGATATAGATTTAGAGAGAAAAAATAATTTAATTACTGAGCTTTTCTGCTTTACTTATAAATAAACCTTATCTTTTGTATGTCAAATGTACCTCTACATTTCTGGTACAGAAAAACAAAATAAATACATTCATAGTATTAATTACCTAATGTAAATTAAAATAAGATAGTGCCATGAATGAAATGTCATCAGTGTGTGAGGAATATAGTAATAGAGTAATAGCATATCGATGAAAGATGAGCCAGGTTAGCTCATTCAAGAAATAATGAATAGCTATGAGCTGGACCACTGGGGTTTGATACTTGGGAGGGTCAGGAGTATTGTCTCTGCTTCTGCATCCTGGCAGGTAGTGTGGCCCACCCAACCTCATATCTAGTGAATATAACTGTCTCTTTTCCTGTGAAGTAACAGGAACATTAATGTTGTTAGTGAAATTAAGTGAAATCTTGCATGAAGCTGTGTTTCTGAGTGTTTAACATGGAATGATGGAGCTTAATGGCAAATTTTTCAGGATGGTGATGTCATCGAGCTGTGTCAAGTAAGCGACATTCGAGCAGGTGGACTTCCGAAGGTGTGTCTTTTATCATATGAAACTATGAAGTAAACGGGGACACTACAGGAACATGCTTTGTAAAACTGAGGAGCTTTTTATAATGTGGATCTGCAAGTAACGAGCGATTCCAAATTTCTAAACCAATTTGCCATTTCATATGTTTCACAGTTCGTTATATTGTAAATCATTGCACATTTTGCAAAGGCAGTTGTGAAAAATAGATACAGGGTGTTCATTGGAAATGGAAATCTGCTGTTTTTGATAGTTTACTGCATGACCTTAGAGGAAACAATACCGGATTCTTCCAGTAATGGGCACTGATTTTTTTTACTAAGTAGAACTTTGTTGCTGATTGCTGTACAAAGGCAACAGAGAGTTGCCATATTTCAAAGAAATGTGAGACTTGATTCCTTTCTGCCTTCAAGAATGTTTTGCAGCATGTAAACAACTCTATGGTACATTCCAAAGTTCAGAAGCAAATACTATCCTGCATACTTACAGCACACCATACCACTGCTTTTACTCTTTCTACTATCATGAAGATTTTCTGTGCCCTATGTTCATGCATGCTACATATTGCTGTGATCAAACTGAACATTAAAGACTGTTCATATTTCCAAATATTAAGCAGTTTTCTTAAAAAATAAAAGTTTTCAATGTACACGGTAGCTGTGGGTGCAGAATGTATCTGTCATTTAATTTTTACTGTGTAATACCTCTGTGGTCTAGTGGTCAGAGTTCCTGGCTACACATTCAGAGGTCCCAGGTTCGATTCCCGGTGCTACCAGATTTTCTGAGAAGTAGTGGGTCTGGAAAGTGGTCCACTCAGCCTGATGAGGATAATCGAGGAGCTGTTTCAAGGAAACAGCGCCTCCGGTCCAGAAAAGTGAGATTAATGGCCGTGTGGATCCGTTGCTCTGACCACATGACATCCTCTATCCACAGAAGTTGGCACTAACTTCGCCGGCAAGCGGCAGTCGCTTGGTCTGTATAGTTCGCTTGCAGACTACAGGCCACGAGTTTTTTGTTTTTATTTACAGCATTTGGCGTGCAGTACAAGACGTATTAACAACAAAAATTAAAATATTAAAAAAGAAAGAATTATCNAAACCATAATTTATTATTAAAAGTTCCCAAAGTAAAATTCTTATTCATTGGAGATGATTAAGTAGTTTGAACCGCGAGCACTACTGAACATCTGGCATTCATATGATTTTAATCCTTATAATCAAAGTTGTTCATTTATTGAACTTGACATATGAAATGTTTCTTTGCTTAAAGAAGTCCTAGTTAGGTAGATTTTATCATCAGTAATCCTGTCCAGCATTTTGCAACAAAAACAGTGTTTGTCATCCTCTGTGATGTGTTGTAGCAGTTGCAGTTGGAGAGGTTCTCCACACAGTAGTGTGTGGCTTATAAGTTCTTGACCATCAGCATGACAGGATCTGTTGGAACTGCAAGTAAAGGCTTGCTGCATATCTTCAGTATTTGCTTCATTAACCTTTAAGTGACGGCTCTTTAAATTCCGGTAATGGCAGCGGGACGGATTTGATTTAAATACGCGCAATTTTAAAGCAATAAAAACTGTAATCATTTCCTAAAATTGCTGTGATTTCTACAATTTTTGTGATAAACGAACCAAATAAACGCTATTTTTTTCTAGAAAGAATATAGAATCAGATATTGTAATTTACAGACCTTATAAAATGTGTAAAAATTTTTAGACTGATTCCAAGTAAAAAATTCCCAATTTTGCGGTCTGTCTACATGAATTCAGAGTTCTTGGAAGTAAGAATGCTGTATGTAAATGTTGCAACACAGCGGATGGTATATGTCGCCATGTTTAGTCTTGCATGTATCGAAAGATTATACACGTAGTTCTTTTGGTATGCAGAGATGTGGGGTGAGTATCTATTCGTATACAAGAACCCCGATTGTTTATTATCGCTTGTCGCAACACAACAAGCTCTCTGTCCTCACTCTGCTGGAAGTAGATTATAAGTACTTTCATGGTTAGCACAGCCAAGCAGTGTCAAAAGCGTGAACCAACCATTGCGCTGTCTCGTTTGGAAGACGCTGACATATTTCAACTCATAAACGACTCCGAATCAGAATGTTGTACTGACAGTTCTAAGAGTGGCATTGAGGCAAGTGAATCAGAAATTGATTTCTACGAAGAACCATCATCTTGGTCGGAAACCTGGGGACCACCACACCAGCATGGCAAGAGGAGTGTGAATAATTATTCAGGTGGAGCTGTGGGCAAACTGTGGCAAACAGTTATAGCATCTGTCGTCGAACCTGGAAATGGACAAATAAACTATTTTTCCATCTCCTGGATCTGAACAGTTACATCCTGTTGTCACACAGAGAATTTCGTCTCGCTCTTGTGAGGAACATGCTGGAAGGGGTCCACCTCGCCATCAACGGCCCAGGGGTCTAACCCCTGCCGTTTTATCAGAGATATACCGATTATAGGAGTCCAAACCACATCACTGGCTGACTTCCTCTACTTCGCAATTGAGGTGTCGTGTGTGCTTTTCGCGTGGGAAACGAAGAACCGTCCAGACAAAGTGCGTGAAGTGCGACGTCGGACTCTGGATTTCCGGATGTTTCCAAGATTTCCACACGAAGCCAACATTCCGTTAGATGACGCAGGTGGGAACAGAGACAACTTATAAAGCTGGTGACCTAAAATCATGTAAGTAGAAAAAGAATTTATAACTTAAAATTAGATTTTAAAAAGCCGGCCGCACGCGTGGACTGCGCGACGACATATGGCGTCATTCATTCCCTTGACTTTATTTTCATGACGCCATATGGAGTCGCTCGGCTCTTAAAGGTTAACACTAGGTGTGTGTGGACCGTGTGACACATGCAGCCAGTTTCTTCTCACCATTGCATGTATGGAATGTATAGCTGATAGGTTTTTCCCATACTTCTTGTGGAATTCCCACTGGAACACTGCTTCAGTTTTTCTTGTGTGAAATGTGAGAACACAAAATTTCTTCATGAGTGGAAATGCCACGTGTGAAGATGACCTGCACGTGGTGTTATTGTGACTCATTCCACATCATTTACATTTCCTGGTTAGTCTTCCAGAAAGTTCTTTTCATTAATACATAGTGAGTGATAAATTAAATTTGACACAAGGTATTTTAAAACATGGTGTTTTAAAAATTGCTTCATGGGTTATTGTCTCTTCAAGAAAGAAAAATATGACTAAAAGAATGTAGTCTTACATACAAAAATTTAGGGACACTCTAAATTTATTAAAAAGTTCCATGTCATATTAGCCAAATATTTGATTATGTGAAGGTGCATATAACACGTAAGTTGAAACTTTATGAACGTGGTAACAGCAAAACAAAAACAGCAACTACATTGAAGCTGACCATTCATCACTATGAGGTCCTGAAATGAAGTGGTCAGTTCCTTTTATGCTGTACTGCCATGATACCAGCGACAAGTTTCTGTCTATCTTTGCAGAACTAGAACATGGGAAAATGGAAATGGTCTGTGAGGCACGTCTTGATCAGTGTAATAAAAGTGTACATATTTTACAAAGTTGAATTAATTATAATACAAAAATTCATCAATATAGAAGAGATTTATTTTGAATTTTAGAAAAACTTCAGCTGCCTCATATATTGTGGTGCACTGTAGAAGTAAGGACAAATGTGAGAGACAAATGTGCATATGTAATTGTTGTTGTATTTGTTATGAAGAAATGTTGTCTTCTTTAGTATAAGTTTCCATTGTGTCTGGTATGTGTCCTCTGTTTTGGAGATTGAACTTTGATTGCTTGTTTTTCATAGCACACTTCACAGTTAAGAAACAAATACAGTAAACTACCCATTATCCGGTATGTATGGGGAATGGAATCTGCTGGTGTGTATGACGAAAGTTCTTGCAGAAACCCAGTACAAAGCCAAAACGCCATGTTTCTGCTTTAATTCTTGTGTTGGAGTTTTCCTAGGGGACAGAGTGGATTGATGGGTGAAAGATTTCGGATACTTATGTGTATATTGTAACACGATCTGAAATTCAGCTAGCCTCTGCTATAATGGCACCTGCATGAGGGAGGATGATGGGTAGCACTGCTAGTGGCAGCTGGGAGAACTACTGCATGGCAGGTGAACATATGTGCATCTAAAATTTGTTTTGAATAACTTTATAAAAATGGCAGATCTTGTTATTTTTGCCATTTCAGATTAGGAATGCTTGGATACCAGATAACACGAAGTTTACTGCATTTATAATGTTGTGAAGTTGAAAGAGTTATTTGTTATAGCTATCTTGTTGCTACTTTCCAGAATGAGAAGTTGAATAATACCCTGATGAAGTTGGGAGACAATGTGGAAGAACGCTCACTAACCATATGCAGTGGCACTGACTACATCAACATTAATTATCAGCATGTTGTTTGCCCAGACATAGAGACTGCTAAGGTAAGTGGATGTTTATATATGCTGCACTGTTTAAAAAATTACTTATTGCAATTAGTAAATAGATCAAACAATGTTATAATATATAAATAGATTCTTTTCCTGGAGTGTTTGTATGTTGTGGCATATAATGTTGCAGTTGTTCAGTGTGTGGATAATATCTTGAAGCAGCTTTGTTTTGCTTCAGCTTTTGATTTTTGTTGAGATAATATAGCTCAGTAAACTGACTGGCTATGGGCTGGATGGTCAGGTCAGGGCCTGGAACTTTTCAAAACCACATCCAGAATGGCTCTTAGATCTATCCAGTCGGTACAAAATACTTGTTCCATTGCGTAAAGTATGCTAAGCTTAAGGCATGCAGCTTCAGCACCACCTCAGCATAGGGCTTCATGGTCTGGTGTTTTAGTACAGGGAGCCTGGTATTTCTTTCTGCTATAGATGAATAAATAACTATGAGTTTTGTTCAGCATATTCCCAGAATTTGTCAATACCAACTTTATTTTGAGACTTATACCTGAGTTACACATATCCTTTTCAAAATAATTTCCCTGAGCAGAAATGCACTGCTCCAGTCATCTTTTCCAGTTTTGGAAGCATTTGAAAAATGTTTGTTCTATCACTCTCAGTTCATCAGGCTTATTTGTAGTGATATCCTCTACTGTGTAAGATTTGAGGCTTTCACGGCGGTGACTATGAAGAAAGCAGTCTTCTGGGGTTAACACCACATATACACGGTGCCAAATCCCAGAAGACTGCTTTCTTCAATATCCTCTACTGTTTGAAATCTTTTTCCTTTCAGGATAATTTTTATTTTGGTGAATAGGGAAAGTCAGGTGAGGTTATGTCAGATGAATGCTTTGCTGAGATTTTTATTTTGGTGAATAGGAAAGGTCAGGAGAGGTTACATCAGATGAATGCTTTGCTGAGAACTCACAATTCCACAGCGTTGTGTTACATTGTTGTGACAGGAATTTCATATTCCTGCATGTCACATTTCTGGCCATTCTCTTCATCCCTCACATGCCTCATAACTTCAGATAATGTGCTTGATTAACTGTCTGGCCCACTAGATTGAACTCGTGAGAACAATGCTGTGATAAGAAAAGACAATCATTTTCACTTTTAAACAGACTTGTACAATAATACTGTTATGGGGTGCAACAAATCAGAGCTTTTCATAGTGATGACTGTCATTTTGTTTTCAGCATCTTACCTATAAACCCAAATCCCATCTATAATGATGTCATCTTTAAAACACTTTTCATCATCTCTTGCTCCTCTAACTACTGCCAAGGTCAAAAATATGTGGATCTATACATCCACTCCCCCATACATCTTCATGACGTAGTGCACAAGGACAATTTTATCTCTTTCTTTTTTTGCCTTTTATCTTGCTCATTGCAGGAGATCTTCATAAATATTGTCACGTGTTGTGTTGTATAACGCGACAAATAACTTCACGCCTTAGTGGATATAGCGAATTTTATTCCACATTCGCTCTTACAATCACACAATTTACAGATTGACAATTACTGCTATCTGCAGTATCACAAATACTAGACTGCAAATGCCAGAATACAACTGACTGGTTGCTGGCTAACTCGTTACTCTCCACTGGCTAGATTGAGAACTGTCTTGAATAGTCTTCGCTGCTCCTTATTTAGCCCTGTTCTGGACAACACAGAAAACAGCCACGTAATAGGCACCATTGTTGTCTGGCGCTGTGTTGCTAGCAACGCTGTCGGGAGTTGTCTCTCGCAACCACTGTTTACCCGCATTGCATAGCGACCGGCGTGCTGGGACTTGGCTCACTTCGGCTCCACTCGGCGCGTCAGCTCCGGGGGGGGGGCGTCCAGCTAGCGTGACACATCACAATATAAGATACTGAATCCTCAGATCTTAAGTCAAGAGCCTTGGCACAAATTTTGCTGAAACTTGATGCACCTCTAAACTTCTGTTACAATTATATGAGTTGCGCCAGCAGATATTTGGGTCTCTTTTGCCGCTAGGCATACATTTCATTAAATTTTGTATGGATGTCTTTCACTTGGACAACCAAAGAATTCTTTTTTGAAGTCTGGCCTAACCTCTCATAATCATTGTTGAAGTTCTGCTTTGGAAACATTGTGCAGTCTGTAGGTCATTGTTTTGCTCAAGGCCTGATTGTTGTAAGCTTCACATTCTGCTAGTTTCTTCAACTCTTTTATTCAGTTGGACACAAAGTTTCACACATGTTCTCTGTTCCTTTACATATACCATATCAAAATGAAACAAAACCAAAACCACACAATTGTGCAAATTGTTACAGCACACCAGAGCTCGTTTGAACAAATTGCTGTGTGCAAATTATAGTCATAGCTATCAGTCATTCTATACACATCCACATGTGCATGACTGGTGACTCTCCACACAGCCCTTCTGAATAAATCTTGTATGTGTAAAAATCCCAAGTCTTGCAGGGATGGCCTTGTTTTATCCCTAGTGTGTATAAGTTATTGTAGTTGCTAGTAGTTTATGGATAGGATCACCAGGCAACAAAAACAAATTTCAGTTTTTGATTGTGTATGCATTCATTGAAATCATGATTTAATGTATGTGACAGTGATTTCAGTGGAGGTGTTATCTGTGGAAAGTTAACTAGATATGAGAATTGTCCATGTCACATTTTCAGTCCATATGTTGCATTTCATATCATTCAGAATGTATAGTTGCTTGTTAAAACCAGGGAGGATTGTAAAATGTGCAAGGAAACAAAATAGAGTGTATTGTTAATGTTATATTTTAGCGTCCTGTTGCACTGATTTAAGTCCATGATTTATTTAATCCGTCTTGCAGTGCATACACTAATTTTCTCCTTCTCTCCCTCGCACTACATGTTTCGGCATAATAATGCCATCTTCAGGTGCTTACTTATCCACGTCAAACCAGTTCATTGCATGCCATGTTCACACATTAAAATAACCAAAATATGTATCCATCATATACATTGTCCAACGTTAAAAATATTAAAATTGTTCAGGATACCACATCGCTACGTCGCCCCTCACTACGTCAGTCACGCCCATTCTCCTTTGTTGGAGCACTCCTTCACTATCTTGTGTGTTGTGGTTTTGTTGTGTCGTGCTCCTGCGACTGCGTGTGTTNCCTGAAGATGGCATTATTATGCCGAAACATGTAGTGCGAGGGAAAGAAGGAGAAAATTAGAGTGTATTGTGTTGATACTAAAATAATGACTGTTAGTGAAACTTATAAAGTATCTATTGATGTTTCTTTTGTACCTAAGGGCCAAATCACAAAACCACCAATTAATGTACTTGGTCAAGTTGGGACTGAAAGAAAAGAACCTCTCTTGTTTAGTGGTATAACACATAATGACTGTTGTGATCAGTACCTGTCCAACTATTTTTGTGCCTGATGTGATGTACTAAAATTATGCCCCTGTCATAAAAAGGCACTAGTTATTTATACGTGTTTTATTTTATTTGCCAGGTACATAATAAGAGAACTTCTATATATTGTAATATAATAAATAATTACCATTCTAACATATATGATGAAATTAACAAAACTGAATTTAATAACCTCTAAAAGAATAAAGATAAACCATATTAATTAAATAATTCTTTTGGCTTTTATCTTTACAGGGTCAGTATTAGTTATGATTTAACATTTGATTATACACATTCTTTTTTATTGCTAGTGGGGTGGGACTAAGTCCCTTGTACTGCGGCCACTTCTGGCCTATTGTACCAGCCCCAGATGATAGGTGAGGGTGATTGTGGAGCAATTGGTGGAATGAAGATTGGCAGGGGAAACCAAAGTACTTGGAGAAAACCTTCCCTAGTGCCACTTTGTCCACCACAGATCCCATTTGACCAGACCTGGGATCGAACCCGGGCTGCCGCGATGGGAAGTCAGTGACTAACCGTTTGAGCTATGGCGCGGCCCTGATTATACACATTGTAAAATTCACATTTATGGGAACAATAATAACAGTCAAACCACTAAGATCATGCAGTACATAACTGTTTGATGTTTCAATTGAGCAAAGATCTCCGTGGTCTCTTAGTAGTTTAATGTACATGATAATGTCATTTTCTGCAGAAATTATCACCTAATCAACCAGTCCCTCCTGATTCATTGTTGTATGCAAGTTATTTCTGATCAGCTGTGAGTTTGAAACATTTTGCTTTGCACTGGCTGCTGTGACAAGCAATTCCAAAAGCATATGTTGGGAGTATACTGACTAAATATTTACTGTACATGTAGTTCAGTACATCTAGTGGCATTATGTCAGAGAGACCCAGTGCCTGGATAGCTGAGTCAGTACAGTGACTAGGCTGTGGGCTGGATAACCAAGGAATTGTACTTCAGTTCTTGGTAGGGGTTAGAAATTTTTCTCATCTTCACAGTGTCCAGGCTGGCTTTGGCTGGCCACTCAGCCTTTTTCCCAGTGGGTACTGGGGCCTCTTTACTCATGGATAAAGTAGCAGGAGCGCAAAGATGACCACTTGCCTATATCTTTTGCTGAGATTAAGAATACTAGAATGACTATGGAGCTCAATAAGAAACCAGGGCCCTGAATGGGTTGGAAGAGCAGTTGAAAAAAAAGAATAGTAGAGGTATACATCCACTCCCTGTATATCCTCTTGGTGTGGTATGTGATGAATTAAGCACAAGGATAACTTAACTTTATATCAGAGAGAACTTTAGGAGAGTATGATTGATTACTTCCTATACTAAGTTTGTATCTCTGAGGCATTAGCACTCACTGTTTCTTGACAGTTTTAGAATCAGTAGTTGTAATATTAGAAATGTTTAATGAAAACTTGAAGATGTCTTTATCCTCCATGATACTTTAAAATCATTCTTCTAATGAATTAATTGTAATGTAAATCAGAAAATAAAAAATAAAATTTTTGTATTGGATCAATAATTGTTTCATCTTTCTGTTCATAGTCAGAAGTTTTTTTCTTCTTAATTTGTACTAGCACAGTACATAT